TATGTTTTCTCTAAATGATATCAACTTTCCTGTTTGTCAAACCTAGACCATGCATAGTTGGGTGGGTGAGGATTTGCCAGCTAGGACAACTACAGCTTCCTCAGGGCCCGGTGAAGGAAACTTGGAAGAGAAATGTAAACAGGTAGACTAAAAGCTGTGTGCACCAATCACACTAATCTTGTTTGCAGTCACAACTCAACTGTTTAGCTGTGTAGAGAGACCTTGACTGAGACCCTGAAAAAAGTGTGTCTGCCTGTGAAGTAATTTTTGGCTTTGCTGTGCTTTTCTGTTATCTCTCTTGTTGTAGTGCCTCAAAAAAAATCAGAGTATGAGATCCTCCCCTTTTTATGGGGCTGACAGTGTCATGAGCCCATCACCAGTAGAAGTTCGAGTAAGCTGAAAACTGCTTTCATACAGCTCAGGCAACTGGCTGCTTATTCTGCTTCATCTATTGGACCAGTGTCAGCAACAATCCTAGGGCAGTTGGATTCATCTTAGCTCACTGACCACAATTCTTCCCTAAAATCAATGGATTTTTCCAATGAGCCTTGATATTTTTTCTTAATGAGCCTAAAGTATTTCAGAAAGATTTTATTATAATTCAGCCAGGTTGCTGAGGTTACAGATTTTTATAAATCTGGCCAACACCTGCTGTCTAGGTGAAAACAGAAAACCAAAAGCTGGTAAGGCATTTGTGTCCCTTTAGCAGCTGACACTGGACCGCATGGATTGCACTGACCGTGTGAGACTGGGAGTTGCCAGCGGCTTGTGGAACCTGATCCCTTGCTGTATTGTTATAAGGCAAATAATGAAGTTACATAAGTGATAATTTGCAAATGATTCAAGAACCTGATGTGGAGCCAGACCCCCCCACTAGCGTAGTCAGGCTCTGAAGTCACTGGAGTTTCTCCAGCTCAAGCCAGCAGAGAACCGCTTCATTTAAGATTAGATAATCTATAGGGTCTACGTCGCTGGAAGGAGATGGATTAGTGTTCCACACTAATGGTGCAGGGACACAAAGGCAAGGGAAAATTCAGATATTGCTCTTTCTTCAACCTATGTATCATCAAGCATGAGTGTTGCATGGAGAATGTTGGTACATTGTGTACGGAAATAGTGTTGTTGGTTTTTTTTTTATTGCTTGTTTTAACTTTATCTACTCCTTGAGTAATCTAATGAAAGAAGGATCAAGATTTTAAGAAATGACCAGTCATTCTGAGATTATGAAAATGTCCTCTGGTTTGTCACAAGCTGAAAGTCTACTGTTTTAAAACTCTTAAAAACATGATCTGTAAAAGTTGTCCTTTGACCAGATAAATTTATGCTAGATACATGGAATTTAGGAAATTTAGAGGATTATCAAGTGTGTCTAGATCTAACAGGTGTAGGGATGGTGCTCCTGATGCTTTTAATTACTGAAATAAAATTACCTGTATTAGAACTGGGAAGTATTGCAAGAGTGAAACATGGAGCATGTTATAAACGTGATTTCAAGCTAATGTGGACCTTCCAGCTTTTGAGGTCAGCAGCAAGTGTTCTCGATTTCATGGTAGCAGGGACCAAGACCTTTTATGTGTTAAATTGCAAGTAGGAATTCATGGCTGAACTTTGAAATTACTTTTGCCTGAAATAAATCTAGAAGCCCCTCTGCTATGGGGACAGGCTGAGAGAGTTGGGCTTGTTCAGCCTGGAGAAGAGAAGGCTCCGGGGAGACCTTATTGCAGCCTTCCAGTGCCTGAAGGGGCTGACAGATTCCAGGGGGTAGCTGGTTTAAACTGAGAGAGGGTAGAATTAGATTGGATCAGGAAGAAGTTCTTCCCAGAGAGTGTGGTGAAGCACTGGAACAGGTTGCCCAGAGAAACTGTGGATGCCCCATCCCTGGAAGTGTTCAAGGCCAGGCTGGATGAGGCTTTGAGCAACCTGATCTAGTGGAAGGTGTCCCTGCCCATGGCAGGGGGGTTGGAACTGGATGATCTTTAAAGGTTCCCTTCCAACCCAAACCATTTTATGATTTCAAGTGTAGTTGGATGCCTGAGGACTAATTAAAAAGAACACAGCCAAGGTTAATCCACATAGCTTCAGTGCTGCTTTTGAGCTTTACTGGAGCACCACTCCCAGGCTATATAGTAGTACTTGGCTTTATTTCAAAAAGCGTAGACTATAGGTCTGCTCTCTTTCAGGCCACGTAAGATTAAGCATTGTGATTGACTGTTCAGCACTTAATTCAAAGCCCAGTGACCTAATTGCGGGCAGCAGCAAAGCTACCAAAGAGCACTGGCTACACAGAATACTGGAAGACACTCCTAAAGACGAGCTGTATTTTGTGCAAAGAGGGGGAGGGTGGACACAGTCCTGTTTTCATTAAAGCCAAAACAAAGAAGCGGAACAAAACTGAAGTGACTAACGGGAGCTGAAACTTCCCTCCAAGTCCTGTGGCACGACATCTGTGCTATCAGAGTTTGTGTGTCAGGGTCAGGCTGTATCAATTGGGTAACGCTCCGCTTCAAAGCGAAGCCACAGGATGAAGTCTCTGATGGAGCTTTGGTGAAGATTTTGCTCACATCTGAGATGCGTCTTGGACCTTTCTGGCACACTAGGAAGGTGCCTCTGGAATGTCACGTTGTAGAGTGCGTTTGCTCTTGCACCTGCTTTGCTCTGTTTACATAGATCTCCAAGGGTGATGTTATTACTAATCCATGGGTGGGAAGTATGTGGGACAAAGGTATCTTAAATCCTTTCCCACCTCACTGTACTGTGAGCAGCTCCTGACTTACCAGTTGATATCTCCAGGTATTCTGGTCTGAGCAGTATCTTAACCTGGGAAGCCTTCTTGATCAATTTTCCTTGGTTTTGTGGGTTTTTTTGGATTGGGGTTTTTTTTTTTTTTTTTTTTTTTTTAATCTCAATGAAATCTGCTTGTTCTGACACAAGAGCTGCATGTCCACTTCCTAACCATCTGGAATATGCATGCCATTCACAAACGGGAATGAATTTCGGCATGACTTGTCACTTTGTATTCAGCTCAGCACACTGATTGTTGTTGTAAGATCTCTTGTTTGCAGTAATATTTTTATTACAGAAAATATTATGCTGGTGAAAACTTAAGTTCTTGGATCTAAATGGACAGAAATACACATCCTTGTTGGATACCAGGCAGGCTTCATGGCAGAATTGCCCAAAACTTCATGTCAGAGGAGGGTAGAGTATGGAGTTAAGAAAGCCACAAGGAAAATTATCTCCCTGCTTCTTTCATCCTTAGCTTTTTAGTGTGAAGTGAATAATGACGTGTTGTGTTTCAGTTCAAGTCAGTGAGAGTTTTGACAGGAGGCTGCATGACCCATCTGGAGGAGTCTGAAGATCTTTGTTTGCTGCAGTCCCTGGAAGCCTGTTGAGTGTTGTGTGCCTCGGTTTCTTTGTTGACTGTATGAAAAGGATGTTACTTACCAAACTTTCTGGATGGAAAATGTTGTAATATACAAAGCTGTGTTACTGCAAGTTGGGGCTGATAGCAGAGGGATAGCTTGAATTGCAACTGAAACAATGAGGTACTGTGATTTCCCTCCACTATGAAAGGGTTTTTGTGTACCCAAGTTCATCATCTGCTAAAGGATTCCACTTCACAGGAAACTGCAGATACACTTAATTATTGCAACTTTACAAACACATTACTTACTAAAAATTCCTCCTTTGAATTGATGAGAACAATGAATGTACAGTTATCGCCACAGCAATGAATTATATTTTCACCCTCTTTATAGTACTTTTTCATTTTTAGGAAGCTTTAGGAAGTTCCGGACAGGGTCAGACACAAGTGTCTGTTCTTCCTAAGCCTATGTGTGTGCTGCTCCGAAATAAGAGCATGCGTAGCTTTGCTGCTTGCTTGGTGAGCCTAAGCTATTGCTTTGTATCCAGGTACATGTTGTGGAGGTTGATATATCGATGGCTACACCCCTGCTGGAGAAGGTGGTGCTGCCGACCATCAGAGGTCCTTCATCACTGTTTCATTTGTATTGTTCTTTTAATCAATTTTAATGTTTTTGAATGTTTTCAAGGCAAAAACAAGGGGAAAAAAACCCCCAGAATTGGTGCAATTCACATGAGTTGTGTGCTGCTGGAGAAGTATGGTTAGGAACATGTGGTGTTAATTACTCATGCAGATCTGCACTCTGTGTTTTATTCTGCTTCCATTCCCATTGTTTTAGTTCAGGGTATGCAGAGCTGTGTCTTTGCTAATGGAGTTACTGGAGATCCTGCTCTGGCAGCTACTCTTCCAGGCAGACAGGGCAAACCCTGTCCAGTGAAATTAATGGTAAAGTTCTCAATTGTTTCAGTGGTACCCTGGTTTCACTTATTAAATTTACGGAATCTTGTGGGGTTTAGCCTGTCCGTGGGTGTGAGAGGTGGTCCTCACCATCGCAGTAGATCTTCCACTTGAGATGCAGTCTTCTGTTGCTGAAAGAGTGGTGAGACTTGCAAGGAGAGGTGGGAAAACAGAAGCAGGGATTGTCTGTCTGATGAAACAAACTGTTTAGATGCTTAGGAAGAGGAGAGACTGGTTGGGGAGGGAGCTAGTCCCTTGTATACTGAAAATAGAAAACATGGGAATGACAAATTGCAGTCCTAGATTCTTCACACTTATCTGAGCTTCTGGTTTTATTTGTTTCCTGTAAATTTTTGCAGTAACTTGTTCAACTGAAATATGTGGTAGACAGGACGATGGTTAAGACTCTCTCACTAGCTGTGAATAGCTGTACACTTCACATCTGGGAAGTTAGTGATATAAATGCAAAAGTGTATTGTAAACTGTTGGAACTAAAAAGCTAACTATAGCAGTTAGCTATTCTGTATGACACATCACAAGGAAAAAATGTTGAAAATTTGTCTAGTATGGGAATCTTCTTTTTGAGTAGAACAGTTTACCGTAAGGATCGTTACCAACAGAATGTATACTGTTTTCAAAGAATGAAACTGATGGTCATGTCTTTTCTTCTTCTTTTCAGGCAGCACAAATAGTCCTGATTTCCCTCTTTGAACTGAACACTCCCGAGTTTACCATGTTACTTGGTGCCTTGCCAAAAACATTCCAGGATGGTGCTACCAAGCTCCTGCACAACCACCTCAAGAACTCCAGTAACACCAGTGTGGTGAGAGGCCCTTCTCCTTGCGAACAGCAGAGCCCCAAAGACAGCAGCTCATTGATAAGCTGTTGCAGATGTTCAGTAGCATGAATTATCTGTAACTGTTGTCTTGGAGCAATATGGCAACAGAGGCTTCTGTTTGATGTTGCTTTCACAGGGACCGTTAAAACAGAAAACTCAGTTATTTTTAAATTTAATATAGTCGTAACCAGTACAGATTAAAAAAGAAAATACTAGAGGAGTGCATGAAAGTTGATGAGGTTTGTGCTTTCAAGTTGGTGATGCTTTTGAAAATCCTGCCAGTAACGACCTTTTAGCTAAAACAGAGATCCTGATACCACAGATTTCCTGGGCTTACCACTACTATTGAAACTGGTTTAAGAACAGAGACATTGTCTAGTAAGAAGCTTGCGGGATCTTTGATGTGACCTTTAGGGTCTCCTCAGTCTACACCTATTACCTTAGGTTTTGGTTTTACATGAAGCTCTTATATGTTTTTATTTCTCTGAAGATACTTGTTAGTAGATGATTTAAGAGTGCTTCTAAACTTCTTTTTTCCCTCAGAGCAGCAAGAATTAGGGTATGTTTTGCCTTTTTTATGTGGAGATCTTGTGATTTGAATGCTCCTGTCTTTGCACTTCCATAGGGACAAGTAGACCTTTGTGTAAGCTAGAACTACAGCATTAGGCTTCCAGGCAAACAGACTGGATTCTCTAGTACCTTCGACTTTGAGTGGATAGTCAGAACTGGGAGCAATTTCTACTCGTTTTGCTGTATTAGAAATGATTGTGCAGGCCAGTGGAAAAATGATAAGTTAGATTCCTTACTTATGCTCTTAACAAGCACAATCAGAAGGCTTTAGACAATGCGGGAAATAGCTGCATAATGAAATCTCTAAATCGCCAGGGTCATGGTCTGCGTGCTTTAGAGCCTGGCAAATCGTGTCTGAGAAGCTGGGTAGCTGGTGGATTGATAAACCATCCCCCTGGCAATATTTGCAGACTGTACGTGTTGTGTAGTTAAAATTGCAGGTACTGTGGATTGTAGAAAAGTGCACATGTGCTTTCTTTGTCCTTGGAGCAGTACCTTCAAGAATATATGAATTGTGGCTGGAGATTTTTAGGTCAAGAGCCAGAATCAAAACTACACTAAGCTTGTCTAGCGCAAACAAAGGCAATATTTGGATTTGTTGTTATGTACTCCTGCCTGTGCACTGCAACGTGTTCCTAATTCCTGTCTCCCTGCTTCTGTGCCAGGGTTCCCCCAGCAATACCCTTGGTCGGACTCCTTCCCGGCACTCCAGCAGCAGAACAAGCCCCTTAACTTCACCTACCAACTGTTCCCATGGTGGACTGTCTCCAAGGTAATGTGGCAGGCTAATTAAACCACTTGCAAAATATTAAAGGATTTCAACACTGAGTGTTCATTTGCAGAATGACTCATTTTGAAAGCAAAAACAAGACCAAAAGTTTACAGTAGATTGCTCCAAATAAACAGCATTTGAACATGATAATACATGGATGGTGATTGATTTCAGTGTTCCAGTCCTCACGTTTTTTGTGTCATCTTAATGTATTTTCTTATAATATAAATTTTCTTTTACAACTAGGCCTTCTGCAGAATCACATGTGTGGGTTCAGTAAAGGTAATATTAAATGGCAGCATTAGAAATGAGGTTGTGTTGAGGTTGCAGATATCACAAAGTATATGATGACTTTCAGTTGGTGTCTATTTTTAAGGTGTGCCCTTATGATAAGCAATTCATCTGACTGTAGTACAGTGCTCGTGCTGCTGAGAGCAGTTCCCCTCTTCCCCTCTGATGCTTTGTGAGGGTGCAGAACAAGCAGAGGTGGTGACTGTTTCAATGCTGAATACCTCTCAAATCGCTCTCCTGGCTGCTCACCAGTGGATGAGTAGCCTGATCCTTTGGGCAGCAGGTCTGTTGCAACCAGGTGTCTTGCTGAAGCTGCAGATGTTACCCTAGAATATATTGGTCTGCTCCAAAACCTTTTGTTGAGCAAACATGGACTCTTGGATATTGGAAATATACCTGTTTGCACCATAAACCTTAGAGCAGAGGAGATAGGAATTTAAATAGTATGCTCTGGGACTGTAGAAATATTGGAGCCCAGTTACCTGGACAAGCTTTGATTCATGCTGGAAAAGCTTAAAAACTGCTGGTGTTGTCTGCCTGCCCTCTCCATGGGAGGTCACTTCCCTTTGTCACGGAACAGATGAAAGGAAGCGTGTTGGGTGAGGACTGAAGTACTGCAGTTTGTAGTCCAGTGGAATAATTTACACTGAAATCTGTTGATCAGCCCTGTTGTGACTTGCTAAACCCTGTCTGGAGGGGTGTGTAGACATGTGAGTTCCCAAGTGTCAGGAAAAACACAGGCTTTTAACCTTTAATGAATAACTATGCTAATTCCAGCACCATATGAGGAGCACATGGGAAAATTTTTGATATCTAAATACATCTCTGTGACCCCTAAATCTGTTGTAATCCAAAACTAGACAGAGAGGTTGCAAGCCAAGGTCGAGTTGCCTATTGTGATTTTTTTCAACAAAGGTCTCATTAAGAAATTACACGGTAGAGTGTCAGGGAATGGTTCCAATGATGTTGCTTCCTTTTTGACTAGCTTGAGCATTGTTGCCCCGCTGATTTCTGTCATGGGAAACTGTAAACTGAGATACGTCTCCCTGCGGTTACGTTGTGGCTTTGCTGGCCACGTTTGCATGTGGCACTTACCTTTTACCATGCTTTTTGGGTTTTGCCATTGGGACACAACTGTGTTTTGCCACTTCACTCATTGCTTTTCAGTTCGTCTTTGCATTCCTCTCACCTCTTGATGTCAGGATGCACGCATCAAAACATTGATTAAAGCATTCAGAGTACACTTAATACTTTGTTGCTGGTTTTTTTCTAGCAGTTTGGGTTTAGGAACTAGAGGGGTTTTTTCCCATGTGATGGGTTCTCAAGGAATATTTAGAGAATGCATGTAATTCCAGAGCATTCTGCCATTAAGTTGTCAAGACTAAAACTGCCACTGATGCAGTGGGCTAGGAATTTTCATTAGAAAACAATCATTCCTTCAGTGTTCTATGGAGTTCTTGGAGATGTTGATCCAAAAATGTAGGTGTCTCTTCAAGAAGCATGTTGTGCTTCCTTGCTGGATTTAGTTATTCAAGAGTGACATGTAAGTTACTCTTCAACCATAGATGGAGGTGGAAGCTGCTGTAAAAGCCCTTTTAAAAAATACTCAGGGGGTGAAGTTCTGCTTTTTCTGGTGAGTGACCTCAGCAGTAACAGTAGCTGCAGATTTGTACCATCTGTAGAAGAGGTGGTGGCAAGTACTGCAAATCAGTGGCAGTAACTTCTGCTCTGCTGGACTGCATCCTTCTTGAAAACGTCTTGTGTAGCACAGTTTGAGCGTGGTGCTGACTTACAGAACAAGGGAAAATATAGCTGTTTCTGAGGAGTATGTGTGGTCGTCCTTCTTTCAGAAAAAAGGCCGTGGAAGCTGTGCTAACAGACTGTGGGAAGCAGGGTACATTGCAGTATTGCAGGTGTGGGTATAGATGCTTCTGTCTCATGTTTCCATTACAAATGCTTGTCATTTGCCATTCATCAGGGTGTAAAATGCCACTTTTCTCTCTACAAACTTGGAAAATGAGCACACCCAAGTCATTCAAGTGACAGTCTGAAGGGATAAAGATTCCCACAGTTCTCTACGTAGCCCTCCTCTGAAATTAGGCTCAGCTTTATGATTTTATGGGACTCAGTGCCTAAGGGTTGTACCAAGGTTGTGTATGCCCACTGCTTCCTGGGGTGCTCCATGTGTGGGCCCTGCTTACCATGTCCATACCTGTATTGTACAGGCACCCTGAGTGCAGTCAGTTGAATGATTATTTCCAGTTCTTAATGCCAGCTTTGGTTTTGGAGATTATACTTTCATTTGAATTTTTCCTTGATGCACAGATTGGAGGAGTCTTATCTAGAGACATACATGTCTTTGGGGCTGGGTTCTGCGTAGAAAGGATAGTTTGGGTCCTGTAGGAATATAAAAATGCTGCTAAGCACAGCTGCTCTCCCGTATTACTGATGGGTTTTGGACAACGTCCTCAATATTGATCAGCAAGGCTTCATTCACATGGACTTTCTGTAGTATATATGTATGTATGCCATTTCCCTTACACCTCATTACTTCTCCCATATTATTGCCATCACAACTGAACTACAGATGGCTTTTATTTTGTGTGTATGTGTATCTGTGTACATGCATTTGAGCTCTCTGGATATATTTTGAATGTTTTGGTGGAACTGGACTTTGCCGATGCAAACAGCTCATTTGCCTATCCAGATCACAGATGATAACATCTGCTTAAGTATCCCCTGATATTAGTGTCTTCAGCAGGGTAACGTGCTTTCAGGGCCTTGAGCAGTGTCCTTCCTTCTCCTGCTTTCCTTTGCTCCATCCAGTTCTACTTCATGATCACTAGAACATATCCACCACATCTGTGAGTTGCTTCTGCATTTGTACCTGTTTGGATTTTTTTGTTTTCACAGTTTTAGCTTTTGAGTAGGAGAGTTATGGGGGAAAAGAGGTGTTTTCTGAAGAAGAGGAGCGGGTGGGGAGCACTTGGGGAGACTGAAAATAATACGAAATAAACCAGTCCTCTGAGTGAGAGGAAAGAATGTTTCTTGGGCAATGCTCAGATGAATGGCTTGAGTTTGTGTTGGACAGAGAAAATCTGAGATTCATTAAATGATTTAGTATGACAAAAAGGAAAAGAGTAAGTTGTGAATCCCTCCAGTGTAAGAATACCGTTCTGAATGGCAAATGAACGTGTGTAAACTCATATGTTACTTTCAGGTTGTGAATTTTCACCTAGAATTCTGTAGGGCTGTTCGGAAGATTATCAAATGAATAGTTTTGCCCTACTCTTTCTGCCTTTATTAGTAGCCCAGAAACTTATGTGTAGTTCCAATTACTTAAAAAAAAATTGGTCCTTCAAAGATCTCTAGAGGAAAAGCATCAAAGTAGAAGGCTAACACTTTTACTTGGCTGTGTAAGTTTACATGCCTGTTTTTCACTGACAACAGAAAATACCATTGAAAACAGAATTTGAGAGTTGCAGTATTAAGTTGAGCGAGGCAGGGCATGGAAAAAGAATTGAAATAAGCCACCCACCTTATACAGTAAGGACAAGTCTGTGTTGTTTGGTGGCCTCTTTGCAGGTAGGTGAGACTTGAGCTCTGAAACTTCAGATCAGCACTCTTGGTGCCTGGTGTATTTCCATAATAGTTATGGGGCTTGATTGCTGGTTAACAAGTGCATTTCTTGATGCCACTCTTCAGGGGAGTTTTCAACTGGCTTTGCTGCTGTTTGCACTGGAGCAATTCTTGATTTGTTTGCCGCTTCTGATCTCGCAGTATCTTTCTCTTGTGTGTACACGAATGTGACTTTCTGACGGTGTGCTTAAACTTAATAGAAACAAAGCAGTGTCCTGAATACTCCATCATTTCAAGCATCTATATTCTCATCTAGAAGATGATTTTGAAAATCCATGTACCCTGAAGGGACTGAGACAAAAGCAAGGGTTAGACAGATTGGCAAAGGGATGGATGCCTTGACCCAAAGGCACAGGACGAAACAGTAACGAGAAGGGGACTGTGGAAGTTTGAGAGACCTGGATCGACTTAGAGGCTGGTTTCATCCAGTCTTTCCAGGTTGGTCTGCTGAGACCTGGGCCAAGTCCTCAGTTTACACGATATGTTTACACTCTAGACCGGCTTTCACTCGCTGTGTGTTTGGGATCACTTTGAATCTGGCAAAATAGGATCAGATCTTAAGATCAGAGGTTGGCTGATTGTGTAGGGGTCAGTTGCAGGCTCTGATAGAGGCATCAAGAGCCAAACTTGACAAGTTACTTTTGGGTGTCTGGTAAAAAACCCCATCAACTTTCCTTTCTTCCAGGGAAATCCTGTTGCTCACAAATACCTGCTTAGAGTTTGAATACAGATGTGTGGTCAGGAGTTGTCCACTTAGAGCATTTTAAGAGGAGTTTGTAGAGGCTGTGCCCATTTGTAAAATCTACTGGTTAATACAAGCAGGGACTATTTTTGTGTGAACCATATAATTTTGTTAGGAAATTAATAATAAAGGCCAAAACAATAACTTATGGGGCTCAATGGAGTATTCTTGTTTAATTTTGTTTCTATTAATTTTTTTCTCTCTCTCCAAGGCAGCATGACAGCACTAAGCCACTCAGATTATAGTTTCTTTTTTTGTTTTTCTCCCTCTCCTTTCTCTGTTTTTTCTCTCTTTGTTTCTCCTCTGGTCACGGCAGTCGGTTCTGGGGTTGGAGTGCAGATGGGCTGTCGAAGCACCCCCCTCCCCTTTCTCAGCCTAACTCCATCCCCACTGCTCCTTCCCACAAGACTTTCAGACGCTCTTACTCTCCCAGGTAACAAGCTACCTGTTAAACCAACTTGTCCGAGGTGTCACAGTATTATTTACCTTTCACATTGGGATTTGTTCAAATGTGGGAAATGATTTGCAGAGGCTGTGGTTGGAAAAGATGATGGTAGCTTTCAGAGAGTGGAGGTAGCAGGCAGCCGCTTGCTCGCAGCTTGCAGGTGGAGGAAAAAAAAGGGGATTTTTCCAGACTCTTCCTCCCTGCCCGATTCCTGAACGAGTATACATTGCACAGTTGGTTTCCAACGCAGAACACAGTTGCTGAGCACTTTTGGCAGGCACTGGTTACATGATGATAGCACGGGCAAGGTCTTTCAACCTGGCTACACCGCGCAAGTGGCACACGAGTACTTTCAAACAAACAAGTACAACTCCTTAGTGATTTCACACCTGCCATAGTGAATATCCAAAGCACAGTGAGGATGAAGCTTGCATATGTGACTTTCCCAGCTGCTTGCACAGTGTGATTGTGGAATGTCTTGGTACTATTGAAACTGAAATTGTCCTTATTACCAGATTCAGAGGTTATTGATCGCTAATTTTGACATCTCTTCCTCCTCCTGTGCCCTCACATTTTATTTCAGTCTGCATACCAATCTTTAATTGGTATACTGGTTTTTAATCAACCATTCTGAATACAAATTTTAGTTTATCAGACATCTATGATAAATTCCTTGGACTTTTTTTTAAGTTTATACCCTCCCAACAGGCTGTCTGTAGATGTGGTTTCTCCTGACTTAAATATACCTCTTACCTGAGGAACAGCTATATATAGTCTTTCCTTGAAGCAAAAAGTTCTTAGTGAAAAACTGTTGAAAGGAAAGCAAACAAATTGTTCTTTGAGGGGTCAAAATCTGGGAATCTGTGGTATCTGAGAGAGAAAATAGAATCCCATAGTCCATACCTCTGTGAATACCTGAAGAATTAAAACTTAATTAACGTTATGAATCAAATAAATGTTATGATTCTTCTAGGACACTGAGATATCTGTGGAAGAGATCCGTGTTGATTTTTGCAGTTAAACTAGTTGGGAGTGGTTTTCCTCCTTTCATTAGCTGACACCAAGGTTAGAACAATTTGATGTATATTCCAGCCCAGTGCCTGAAAGTGCAAGGAAGTAGGTTGCTGTGTACTGCTTGAGGATGCTAAACTGTTGATTCCTTACACATAATTTGGATTGGAAACTGAATAGTAGTTCATAGAAGTAAAATGTATTTCATGTGAGACTGGAAAATGACCAAATTGAATCTTGATAAACTTGCAGAGAGCTGCATTGTTTTAGTGCAGCAGAAGATGGAAAATAATGTTGTGACATCCCTAAACACTGCTCATCTCTACTCACTTCTTATTCATCCTGTGACTTTCTTCTAATTTTCTGCATGGGTCATAATTTTTTTTCCCCCCTTTGTGCCTTTTTTTTTTTCCCCTGAAAGGTGGGTGTAGTTCCATTTTATTTTTTATTGCCCCCTCATCGTGTTGTCTGTGAAGTATTCCAGCACACATACTGTCAGTAGATGTGTGTTCTACATGAACGAAAACTCTGTGTGAACTCAACCATAATGTGATCTCCTACACAGACTTACTCTTGACATACAAAATCACTGGATTAATTAGACTTTTATTAAAGTGGGGTTTTGTGCTTCGAAAAACGCATCAGATCGGTGGCTCTTTGTTGAGAAATTGCCTTAGTCCTTTAGTATTGCAGAGTCTGTACTTTGATCTATTCTTTGGTAGCAGTGTAAGGCAAGAATCATCCCTGAGGAAAGAAGCGATGATTTTAGCAGAAGATTTAGTGTCAGTATATCTGTGATTATTTCTTGGGGTTTTTGCCATGAATTTCATTGTGTGACCTTTGGGAGGTCATGTCATCTCTTGGTGTGGGTACACACATACAGTCACACGCATACCTTCTCGAATGACAGTTTCATTGCTCACTTAAATAGTGTATGAGAAACCCCTTAAGATCTAGGAATTAAATGTAATGCAGCTCAAAATTAATATTTTTGAGATCACATGAAACAAAGGTTGTCCTATCCCGGCCTGATACTTTCAAAGAATCTAAAAACTGCTTTCACTTTTGTCTGGAAAGCTCTCACAGTGCATTACTGTCACTCAGCTGTCTGAAAAGCCCTAAATGGTTTGACTTCTGTAGGTTTATAAACAGCTTTTGTGTCCTGGTCTTGGTCTGTTCTTTAAGTGGTTTCTCTCTCTTCCTGGCCTGACAGACGCTTTTTGAAGTTGGGAAGTTGTTCTTTGGTTTCTTTGCCTGAATACATGGTGCTGATGCTTGTGTGATCATGGAGTGAGTGCGTTGCTTGGGAGCCAGGGATTATGGCTATTTTCAGTGTGTTAATCCCGAAGGAGTAGGGCAGCACCAATCTTATCGTCTGTCTGAAGTTCCTGAATTTCTTCCAGAAAAAAAAAGTACTAGAAGATAAATATTCTAGATATTTAACATCTTACTTTTAATTCTATTGAACATGATAGCTGTGTACCCAGGATTCAGAAGGGATTTTTTTTTTTTTCCCCCCACCCCCCCACCTCATAGGGAATCTTTCTTTTGTGGAAGGGGAACACAGCTCTTTGTTCATCTGTCCTCCTCCAAGTCCATACTGTCATCCTTCCCCAGATGTTAAGAAATAGTAATTCACCCCTGTAGGGAGCCACTTCTTGCCATTTATTGACAAACAACTTGATGTAAATGTCTCAAATTCTTTTGGTTTATTTGCTTCTGGCTCTACTAAAATCTGAGACTCCCCAGGAGAAATTGTTTTCAGTTACTGGGTCTCTTCATTAAATCTCTCTTGGAAAACTGATTGTCATTCAAACGCAACTTCTCCTAGATAGACCGAAGCCCTGCCAATAATGCCTTTTTATTTTTTTCAGGCTTGTAGGAGCTTCTCAGCCATGTCTTTTTGTATCATCTGCCCTTGCATGCCAGGCATTTTTCATGAAACTTAATTTTGTATAACTCCTCAAGGAATCCCAAAACTTGTGTGGCTTTGTGCTACTGAGGAACAGACAGACTGCAAGAAAGCATCAGATTTGAGTGAAAGAATTCCCAAACTTAGGCTCAATACCAAAATGCATCTTTTATCAAGGCATTGTGCCAGTAGTTTTGGTTTTACTACTCTTTAAATGAAAATGAGACCTGTTAGTCTAAGGTTTACATCGAGATACATTTTCTTTTCCATTTAAATCTGTCACATCTGAATCCATTGGTAGAATATGTTCAATATGTTATGAAACAAATTTCATTGATTTCGCTTCTACCAGCTGTCACAATCCTTTGTGTTCTCATAGTGTTTGATTTTCTTTATTTTCCTTTGTAAATCACACCATTGCCATGCTGGGAATAGGGGCGGGTTTGGTTTACAGAAGCTAGCACACTCACAGCTGTGGAATGTAGCAAACGGTGGACCTGATTTCCCCTCACAGCAGTAAAATGCCACCATTTTCAGTGGATCTTCTTTCTACATTTAGCTCCATTTGAGGGGAGGCTCAGACCCGAAGTCTGCTTTGATTCCATCCATGTTTTGTTACAAGTCACCCTTAGAAAGGGTACGCCAAATCATCTGTGACTTGACGTTGTTTTTGTTAACAGTCAGAAGCAGATTCCTATTTCATATGTAACGTTTCATATACGTTTGGTCTTTAGTATGCTGGATTATGACACGGAGAACCTAAACTCTGATGAAATCTACAGCTCTCTTCGTGGAGTCACAGAAGCGATTGAAAAATTTAGTTTCCGTAGCCAAGAGGACCTGAATGAGCCAATCAAACGTGATGGAAAGAAAGACTGTGACATTGTAAGTATGCAATTCAGATAGGTGTAATGTTAAAATATTGCGTTCAAACGTGGGTTTGGATTGTTAGGGTACAAAATCCATTTATTCCTGCTGTATTTGTGTGTTTTCACCTTATTGGTTGCTAACTGCTTATGCCTAAATCATGGGGTCCCACTTATGTGGTCCATTTGAACTCTAGCCTCCCGTGAAATGTGCTTATTGGGTTTCTGTGGGAGCCTCACGTACAAAGGAAACGGTACTAGTGTTCCTCGGGCTCAGCGGGGCTCGGTGGTGGCTTTTTCTTGGAATGTGTGTGATGAGGTCTGTAACGGAAAATGTTAGTTACATGCAGAGGTGTTTCCATCCCAAGCTTATTACTTCATATATAGGAAGGGCCCATAATCACTCTTGAGTGCACAACTGGTGTGGTACCTTAGGCTGCACAAATGGTTACAGTTATCTACCATGTGATATGCCTTTTTTTTTCATTAAATGCCTGTACTTCAGAATTTACAGAGGTCTTAATCGATGAGCCTTGTGGGTCCCTTTCATCTTGAGATATTCTGTGTTTCTGTGACAGCTTTGCTTCCTATCTGAACAAACACTGTTGAGTCAGCAGATTGTTAGCCTTCAAAGCTAAAAATTCTTGGTCTGAGATTTTTCTTTGGGACCTTTCTATTGTTTGTTCATGTTAGCTTGTTAAGCATCATCCAGTCTCCTCTATTGGTGAGTTGTGAAGCTTCATAAGGAGGATGTTCTTTTGCTTCCTTGACTTTTAGCAAATTAGTCCTGTTCTAGAGCTTATGATCATTCTAGCAATATTAAATTAGATTTAGGAACTTTAGCATAGCTTTTTGTCCCACAATTGTGAGATATTTTTGGAACAGTTGTAGTAATATAAGGGAAAAAGGTGGTAATCTGCCTTACTCAAGAATTATGTATGTGCAAACAATTCTATGCATTTCTGTGTTGGTGGGTGGACTCCAAAAAAAGCCACAGCTTCCACAGAATTTGAATAGTCTCATGTCTTTTCTGTCTGATCCCCCAGGTGTCTCGAGACGGTGGCCTTGCTGTGCCTACCAGTGATGTCCGTGGAGGCAGCGACATTGTAGAAGGCGGAAGGATGGCTCTAGATAACAAAACCTCCCTCCTCAACACCCAGCCTCCCCGCGCCTTTTCAGGGCCACGTGCTCGAGAATATAACCCCTATCCTTATGCCGACACAATTAACACTTACGACAAGACTGCCCTGAAGGAAGCAGTGTTCGATGACGACATGGATCAGCTTCGAGATGGTTTGTATTCAGTGTATCTCACAAAACTGCAGGCAGCTTGCCCTGTTCCTGGTGTGTTTGCGCACACGTAGCGCTCGCAGATAACATGCCTGCCCATGTGTATTCCTCTGCACCTGAATCGAGGCTTGGCATGAAATACTCTGTCTTCTCATGTACCACCAGAACCTGACTTGTGGTTATTGAGGAAAATGTTGTACTGCAGCTTGAGTGTTTCTTTGCCTGGTGTTTCCCTCAAACCTAGTCCCTTAAGAGCCTAGAAGGTATCTGTAGGGAAGCTGGTTCGGACCCTTTCAATCTTTGACTGAAACACCTCACTCGTCGTTGCTGAGCATTTCACTTAAGTGGTGCTGTGCACAGCTGTATTCCTGTGCAGTACACTGATGAGTCGCTGTACTGCGATCTAAAGGTCATACGTGTGATCGCTGGGTGTGGGTGTGTGTCTGGGGAAAAACTGGCAGTTCTCATCTTGTAATTATTGGAACTGGATGACGTTCAATCGTCATCTCTTCCTGGTTCATTAGAAGGTATGTGCAGACTCATGAGCTCCTTTATGAACTCGGGTGAGATTATGTACTGTCAGGTTCCCTTGCTTGACTGAGGCCACCTGGGATTTGATGTGTTTGGGGGGTGGGGGGCCTCATGTTATGTGCACTTTGTTCTGTAGAGGGTTAGTAATCTTGGCGTCTTTGATCTCTACCCGTTTCCCCAAATGATTTGCTGCCGTTTGTCCTAGAAGTACCCATTGACCATTCAGATTTGGTGGCTGATCTTCTGAAAGAGCTCTCCAACCACAACGAGCGGGTGGAAGATCGGAAAGGAGCTCTTCTGGAACTGCTGAAGATCACAAGGGAAGATAATCTCGGAGTCTGGGAGGAACATTTCAAAACCATTCTGCTCTTGCTGCTGGAAACGCTTGGAGACAAAGATGTGAGATGTAGATTTTTGTCTTGACTCTCCTGTACGTTGTTTCGTGTAGACGGATAGATCCTCCACGCTGGTTTAAATGAAACCTGCTGCGTTTGTACAGCATCTCGTCAGTGATGCTGCACTGCTCGTTTTTTCTTTTGCAGGTTGGCAACTCTGCTCTCATCTTCAGTGTTTTCATTGATTAACTTCAGACCAGTTTCACCTCCCCTAGAGTGTTAGTAGCAAATAACTAGAAAATTGAGCTAGAATCAGAAAGGTTTTCTTCTAGTCTTATACAAGAACTTTCAGGATTTCAAAATTGTTCTCTTCCAAGTTAGGATGAAGTTACAAGCTCTTGGCTATATCATGCCCATTCCCCAAAAAAAAGGGGAATAAAGGTACCCTATTTTCTTTTTTCCTCTCTGTGGTTTAACGATCCAGGCTACTAGATCTCACGGGATGGGTCTGTCTCTTGCAAAAATGTTATGAAAGACAAACTACTTTTATAGAGGATCTTGTTTTGAAGTATTAAAAAAAACCCAACCAAACAAAAAAAATTATCACCACAGCTTTGTATTTGATAGTTGATCAAAGTGGTAATTTACAGGCTAGACTCTTACTTTTTCAACTTGGGGCCGTTTGTTCAGCTTGCAGCACAATGGGAAGTAAAGGCTCAGCACCCTGAGCATCAGAGCCATCTTCCATCTGAATGTTACAATATTTAGGCTTCAAAGCACTTACAGTTCTTCCTTTTTGTTTGTTCTGATTCAAAATCCATTGTATTTCTTGTACTCCGTGTAAAGTATATTGCATGCTCCCAGAAATTTTAACTCTGGAGCAGTGTAGGTGGCTGACGTTCTCAGTTGTTCATAGTATAGGCATGAGCTGCTCTACTCCTACATTTATTCGTAGCATCATCACACATGTATCAAAAAAATGGTGGCTTTAAGTGCACGTGAATTGTGCTACTGCATGAATTTTGTGGATGAGTAGCAAAGGACATGCTTTAAAGGCTGAGCGTATCGTAAAGTATTCCTCTGCTAAAATGATAACATCTATTTGGGGTGGCCACAGGCCAAAAACGTAATTTAACAGTTATGAAATTGAGGCAGGTGTTATAAATCCCTTCTGCTAATGATCTTTTGATATAAAGGATTAACACATAGGGCAGTGTTGACTACAATGGATGACTGTTCTTGAAAGTAATTTCCATAGGATTTACAGGAAGAGAGTCGATTTTACTGCATTAGTACATGAGGAACAGCTCAGTTGCATGGATAGAGCCCAGGTTAATATCCACCAAGCTAAGAAAAAGAAGGGCAAACAAATATAATCTGAGCTGCTTTATAGATTCATGTAATGCCAGTGTGCTGCTTTGGGTACGTTGCCAAAAGATCATGGAATTTAACAACATAGGGTCATTCTGATGCTTTCTTGTATCTGTGACAACCATCATTTTATTTGAATTTTTGTGCAAAAGCAAGCAAGGAGACCAATCCTGAATTTTAGTCGTATTGATTACACTGCTCACTCCACTGGAGCTGGTAGAGTGATAAAAGAATTCTGGGGGTGTAAGGAGCCGTGAGAATTTACTTCAAACTACAGTTTTGAGAAGTGACTTTTTCTAATGTGGATTTCTCCTGATACAGCATTCAATAAGAGCCCTGGCACTGCGGGTCCTGAGAGAGATCTTACGGAACCAGCCAGCAAGGTTTAAGAACTACGCAGAGCTGACCATTATGAAGACACTGGAAGCACATAAGGATTCCCACAAGGAGGTGAGCGAGTCGTTCAGTGTTGCTACTGGGAAAACAATATGGACCTACTGAAGAAATGTAGGAAGTGAGACGTAACAGGCAAACACATTGACCCATCCTGACAGTAGAGCTAATTGATATTAAGTCTCCCAAGTAAGAAGAGAGAGGATTTTTATGTGCTGAAGCACGGAGGAAAAGGGTTGAGACTGACAGAGATGTTTAAGTGGATTTGGAGCTATCTGGAATTGGAGGCCACTGTGTAGCAACTTCCCAGGATTTCCCTGCTCATTCTGGGAGAGGTCGAGACTCTGCAGTGAGTCCATGTTTTCACAGGGCACACTGGGAGCACCGTGCTCCCTCTGGGTAATGAGAGAAAATGTACTGGGAAACAAAAAGCCCATGTTTAAGCAGAACTGTGTGTGAAAACTGAATGGTGAATTTGGCCATACTGGTGACCTGGGCACTGGTGAGTAACAGGAGAAAATGGACACAGAGGTCATGCTGCTGAAAAGAAGCTGAGGCAGGGTGAATTGCTTTTTCCTTTTGTGAGAGAACTCTTATGTAAAACTGAAAGTATTCTTCTGGGGTAAAACAAAAATTAAGGGGCATGGTGGTAACATTTGAAGTAGATCAAATTATGTTTAAAGTCAATCTCTGTAGATTGTTATCCAGGCTGGATCCTTTAACCTACCTGGTGCATGTTGCGTGTTTGAACTAAACCTTGGGAAGTGCCACATGAATTTCTCTGTATATCTGTGATGTCTTTGTAACCAAAGCGTTTGCTTTGAGGTCTAAGATGCTTACTCTTCTCTGCAACAGGCTTGTCCTAAACCAGCAATTTTAGGCATCTCTGTCTGAAGGGGTATGGCCATGAAAAAGATCATTGTATAGATCAGACTGCTCCTGAGCATTGCATGACTGGCTCAAGGTTGTGGTAGCTGTGTGTAGCAGAAACTGTACTGCTTAAAAAGCAAACCAAAACAAAAAACACCCTTAAGGAAAGAAACTAACAGGCTGGATTTCTCTAAAATGCAAAAGTAAAAATGTTTAAACCTTTAGTGAATGAGGAGTGCTGTACCCTGCCTACTGTCCTCTCCTTGATTTAGAGCCTTTGCACTCCTGTCATTCTTGGTTCAGAGTAATAATAAGCAGTTGTAAATTGATTTCCTGATAAAGCAGTCAGACAAAACATTGTGTTCTGAAGGAGTGCCTTTTATTGGCAAGTTTTCCTGGTTACATACTTACTTCTCAGCTCACCTTGACTCAGTGCCCTTTATAATTTTTTCTGAGTTCTCAAAAAATGCACTTTCTAGCAGGACCTTTCCAGATTGTCTCTGACATTGTTTATAATGCCCCTCAGAACTTGCTGTCCTCCTGGAACTGGTGGGTTTAATAGAAATCAAGAGCAGTGTTGAAAATATGACATTTCATTGCCTCTGTACTCGCCACGCTGTGGTCTTCATGCCTGTGGTATGGAAAGGTTCTTCAGGATTTGCGTGAGGTGCCTCCTGAGGAAAAGCAGAGAAGAATAAGTCTTTGCTGCAGAGAAAGCAAAGCTCAAGCCAGGAATGAAGAGATGAGAGTTCTGGCACTACTTTATAGAAGAATAATTCTGAGCTGTATTGCTGTCAGCAAGTAGCTGCTGTGCTGTACGTAGCACACTTTTGATCTACAGTGGTTTTACATAGCATCAGCAATGAGACCTTGGGGTGACAGCTCTCACAGCAGGACACTGCAGGTATATTCCTGTTTGGCTGTCTGTTGCTACACAGTGGTGTGTTCACAGTGGTATTAAGTGGTGGATTTTTCATTCTACATGTGTGGTTTTTCTGATCCCTGTGTAAATGGGACTCTCGGAACCATGATTCAACCCGTGGAAGGCATCATCTGTCTGTCAGTAGCTTGAGAATATCAGCATTCATGAAGTTAAGAAAGGTTTCCCAACCTGCACTTGGCTCTCTACATGAACTAAGCTAAAGGTATACCTGGGAATATGCTTTGGGTATTTTTACCTGCAGCTGGGGCTTGCTGATTCAATAAGGTCTGTGAAAAATTAACTGGGAGTCCATCTGGGCATGGCTTAGTTGGTCAAATTCATAGCCCTGGGCCAGAAGGTCACAAATTCCCATCCCATGGTGGCCCTCCAGCTCACTCTCCCTGCTGACTTGGCAGCACTGCTCTGTCCGGGAGGAGTGGAGGAGCTGCCCTTTGGCTTGATCCCGCTGTGCGGAAGGTGAAGTGAAGACTCACCAGTTTGTGATCGAAGGGCACTTTCGAAGGATACCTGAAGAAGGAAAGGGAAAGAAAGTTCTCAGCAGTCTGTTGTACAGTTTCTTTTTCACCAAATGAGAGCAATATGAAGGGCAGTGGTGTACTGTCCTTAGACTATGTAAAATAAAATCCTTCTCTGTACTGTAAAAACTACTTTAAGGAAACCTGCTATATAATTTCCTTGGGAAAGTGTTAGTCCTTGTGCCAGTGATGCCCTGATACAGTGACACTTCAGGGTTTGTTATGTTTCTGGGCTGCTTCTGCCTTGTAGTAGAAGACAGGAGTGATCCTGGTTTTATAGTTTATATCCTTTGGCATGCAACAGGCTGCATAGGTCAGCAGAAAATTACTGTTTTGAGCAAGCTGTTTCAATCCTCCTTACCTGATTTTCCCCTTCAGCACAGAGACTGCTAATTACCCCAAGTTATTGCTCTGATTTTCTGTTATTTATGGTCCATGGATCATCAGTCTAAAGTGACCAAGCAAAGAGGAAGGATTTGAACTGGAGCGTGGTACAGAACCTCAGGTACTGTCTCTCAGAAGTCATTGTAAGAGGTAGCTCTTTGGAAATCAAGAGGAAGGTTCATCTGCCTTGCTAAGTTCCAGTGTTGCAGCAAAAGGGTCTGTGGTTTTATTCCAGTTTATGTAATTGGAAGTATCAAAGCAGTGTTAGCATAATTGGATATCTTTGGATGCTTGGATAATTGGCTGTGTCCCAGTTGAAGTCTTTAGACACTGAATCTTTGCCATGGCTAGAACTTTTCTGCCTTCTGTTGCTGAAGGCAGTGTTGACGATCAGGGGAGCAGCACAGCTCTTCCCGGTGACACAGAAGAGGGAAAGCTTGGTAAATGGAGTCGGATGCTGTCGCACCTTGTGGGCACAAATGCAGGAGATTGGCGAGTCAGACTTCCAATGGGGCTTCAAAACTAATGTAACCCTAGGCCACAGACTAGAAGACTCTGGGTTGGGATCCATGTTTAGTTTGCATTTTTTAATGTGTTTTAACTGTTTCTTTCCTGTGCCTGGTATAACAGTCTATTCCAGCTGTGGATTAAATGGGATGATGTGAAGAGTCAAGCCTCCTTCAGTCATAACTAAATATTTATGGGGGTTGACATGTAAATGCCTTTCATTTACTTTTGGGGCATTAGAATGCAATTGACATTGTGGACGGTATTAAATCTTGTTGATTTTTATCACTTTGTTTGGAGTTATTTGGAAGAGAACCATCTTTCTGTTGCCAATTAGTTAATATTAACTCATTTGTTCCAGTGTAGTTACTCACCCATAACTAAGGAGAGATGCTGTCTGCTGACCCACTATCATTGATATGACTTTGCTTCAGATTCATACCAGCAAAATGAGTATAAGTTCTTATAACTGAATATATTAAACCAGAAATAGTTAAGTATCTTGGGAAATTGTTGCAAAGTGAGAATCACAGGATAGGCAAAGTGAAAATCACAGGATAGCTAATTCCCTGCTTCTGTCTCTGCCACTGTTTTTCTCTGCAGCTAAACCTAGAGACCTAGCTGATGCTTATTTTTTGTGTGTAAGGAAGGGGTACTGTGCCATGTCTTAGATACCTAATTTTGGTCTCTTATTATCCAGAAGGTCCATAAGCATAATTGGGATATAACAATCTTTGTTGTAACCCTCTAAAAGAAGAAATCGCAGCTATCCATTAATTGTACGTAACTGTTACTATCTCGCTGAAGTGCTTTTAGACTGGCCTCTGACATTTATAAGATGATCTGCAACTGTCCTCTGATGATGGTATGATTTATGTAGGTTTCTGCAAAATGTAGCTTACTAAGGAAGAAAAGCACTAAATGGTCAGTCTTCAAGGTTAATTGATACGTAGCACATATGGAAGCTGCCAAGGCCTGCAGCTTGGTGGTTGTTGATGTTTCATAGTATATGTTTATGTGCTTTTTCTAATTCTCAACAGGGTTCTCAACAGGAGAGCAGTCTCATCTACTCATCTCCTCCGAATCCCTTATAAAAATCATATTGTTTTTTCATCTGCTTAGCAGTCCCTATTGCTGAGTCCACTTCCTGCTTTGAAACCAAGTTCTTAATTGTTTGTTCCTGTCTGGATCAGACTGTAAAGCCTTCAGGGGTGGGAGTTTGCCTGGCTAGGTATTGGTAAACCTCCATGCCCTCCAGCTTAGATTATGCAGGCTTTAGTAACCACCTCTAGATGGCAAAAATTGGCTCAAAAACATAGACATGTTCCTTGTTAGCCCAAAAGCAAACCCTTGTTCTTCTGCTTAATAAACTCCTCTGGCGCTCTGTGTTTCACAATAGCGTACAAAGCCTCTGAGTTTTCGGCGGGGTTTTGCCTACACTGCCTCATCCTCTACAACTTTCTGCAGAGACGGTGCAGCTAGCAGTCGTGGCACAGTTCTCTGGGCTGTGGTCCTACGTACTGCTCTCAGCTAGGTGTGTAGGCGCTGCTCTGCCGAGGTCCCAGCGTGTTGCACTGATGCCCTGGGTAGTCTGTGAACCTGGCCTGCTCTGCCTTAGGTGAGTCAGGACACACATTTCTCTTTCCGTATTTGCCAGTAGTTTGTGTCACTTCAAAGCAGAAATGAAAGCCACCACAACGCTTTAGTGAGCTGCTGCATGTTGACCAAGAGCAGGTTACCACAGAGAAGCTGCAGGCATCAAGCAGCATGTAACATTTATAATTCACTGAGAGTAATAGCTGAGCAGAAGAAATTATGTGGAAGAGATGGGAGTCTTGGTTCTGGCTGGCTCTTCAGGATCCCATGGCTACAGTGCATTGTGAACCAGTGGGAATCGTCATCCAACGTTTGTCCAGCAAAGTTTGTAGAACGTTGATGATGCCAACGTGCTTTTCTATTAAAAGAAGGGATCTGTGACAGATGGCTGTCTTGATCACGCTGTTCCTCATATTGCACATCATTGTATCCCCTTCCATTGAAATCCGAAAGCATTTCACATGCATATTCCTGGGACAGTCTAACTTGTTACTTGGAAGCTTACTCCTTTCTGGCATTAAGGGTGATATTGTTTGAGGTGAACAGCCTACCTGTGTGCTACACCTCTCTGGCTTCATCCGTGTGAATATGGTTCCTTCCCTAAAGCAAACCAGGTGGAAGTATAACTGCTTCTCTCTTTTGGGAGACTCACTGGAAAGGTCTTAATGGAGCGCAGATGTCTTTCAAGGAACCCACCAGCAAACCCAGCTTATGTTGTGCCAGCACAAGTCAGGCTGAATCTAGTCTCTAGTGCGTAGAGCGTAAGGTAAGCATTTGGGAAGCAGAAAAACCTGCTTCTTTCAGGCGAAGTGCTATCTTCTAGATCTGCATTCCTGGGCTACCTGCCCTGTGTTGAATGATATTAACTATCCGGTTCAAGCCATGGTTTGCTCTAAGCTTTTACTAGGAGGTAAAGTCATGTTTGTGACATACCTTACACCAGCTTAGTGTCTGTGCTTCTAAAAAAGCTGCAGGCTGTCTTTAGTCTTGTACATCTCGCTTCGTAGCCATCCTTTTGAACTTGCTGCTTCCGACTGCCATCATCGTTTGGTGGCTTTGCTAGTTTTCTTTCGTATTTCTGAAATCACAGAGAATAATTTCATTAGGTCAGACAGAAGTTTGCTTCACTTGATACCCTGCCTGACTGACTAGCAAGAAGCAAGCACGCAAGAATGCTTCCCTATCAATATCCTCCCTCCTGCCAGCTATCTGAAGCTTACAGCCTTCCTATGCTTATGGTTCTGCTTGCCTATAATTGTATGTTCCACTTCCCAAATGACCTGGCCATTTGTGTCTTTTGATAATGCGCTTCCCGCTGTGGGAATGCTGCCGATCTCCCTGGCTCTGCCAGGTGAGCGGGACTGAGTGCTGTGTCAGTATTCAGAGACGTCCTTTCCCTCTTGGGGGTCAGTCTGGGTGGCTGAATGGTTTGTTCTGCCAAAGCCATAAGGAAAGACCTTTTTTAGACAGGGCTAGTATTTGCATTGCAGAATGGTAGCGTTTAGCCCTCTGTGCCAGCAGGGATGAACTTGTCTTTTTGGCTCCCTCTCAGCTGGTACTGCCCTACCCCTTCCTACACCCTGTCCCCTGCCAGCCCTTTCCAAGGGATTCGGGAGCTGGTTACCTGCAGAGGCTCCGATTCAAGCTAGCGTGTAAGAACATGCTTGAATCCTGTTGACATCAGTGAAACTCCGGCATGTTATTAAAGCTAAACATATGCTGAAGGGCTTTGCTGAAGTGTTGCTTAGATGCAGATTCTGTCTGCCAGATGTGCTCTCGGAAGACTTGGAAGTCTCCTTGGTGTTGTCACATTTACAAGCTAATATCTGCAGGAAGCCTACTGGACGTGTGCAGTGTGTCCTTCTGTGTTCGGAGGGAAGGCACTTCAGGGAGAAGCGATGTGAAATACCCAACTGCTGTGTAAAGGCGGCCAGATCCCTGCAGCAACTTTGCTGAAAGGACTTGCAGGGGCATAAATAAAAATCCTGCACCTTTACAATGTTTCTTTCTGGCCTTAAGATGTGCAAAATACGTATGACCTTTGCTGCTATTATAGCCCTGGCTTGTTTTGTGATACAGTACAGCTGTGTGTTAACCCCTTGTGCTTAGAATTGCTTAGTAGGCTTTTTAAAAAAGGTTTTGTCTCATGCACTTTGCCTCATACCTGCAACTTAATGTGCATGGTAAGATGTGGAGCTGAAACCCAGATAGAATTACTCACTGAAATTTTTACCTACTCCAGTACTGTTTGGAGTTTACAGTAGTATATTTGAGATCAGAGCCTGACCCTAGGTGCGTATTAAAATATTGTTGTTTTCTTATCAAATAGGATATCAGGAGGATTTAAGGTAGGGGGAAAAAATATTATTAGTGAGAAAGCTTTTCTTTCTGAGGGTGTCTGAAAACACTAATATTATTTGGAATGATTGCAAAGCAAAATCCCAAGAGGCCTGTATTGAAATAATTGGTAGGGTTTTTTTAGCTGAAGTGACTTGCTTGTGAATGTTGTTAAACTGATTCCAAGATAACTGGGCTCTCTGTAAGTCAAAGGCATTGTTTGTCAAAATCTTGATGGTAGCAGTGTTTCAGCAATGGGAAGGCTGACGTCAAAAGCTGCAGTGCCAAGAAGTGAATTCCTCTGAAGGAGACCTCCTGGGAGCTGCTGACTTCATGCACTGCAGCAGCCCAACGCCGTGGTACCAAAGGATGGTATTAGGTTTCCCTGAAGTACTTTGGTGTTTCTTTCCTTTCCCAACAAAATCACAGTGCTTCCTTCTAAGTTAGTCCCAGCTTATGTGGAAAAATATTAACTTTCATGCTTCTCATGTGTGAAAGTGAAGAGGAATTCACAAAGAAATAGCTGGAAAAGGGAAAACTTGGTGGAAGTGGGAAAACAAGCACTCTGTTCTGCTTGGCTACTTGTTTGCAGATCTTTCAGGTTGAAATGTTTTGAATACTGACCACATTGTGGATTGCCATTCTTTTTGGAATATGTTTTAATATTATAATGAATTGCTGAGAAAGGGCTGAAGTAGATGGAGCAGTTTGACAGCTTTTCTTCTGTAAACAGGGCACTGATACAGAATCAGTGAAGGTCTCAGGTCTGCTCCACCACCGTGTGCCTTGCCTGCATGCAGTGTCTGTCCTGTGCAAATTATCTGAGATCACTTCTGCTATTGGGTTTTCTTTAGAGAGTGCAAAGGGCCAAGAGGCTAAGTTTTGTTATTTCCTGGGCGTGCAAGTGTCTTGTGGCCATTCCTGTTTCAGGGAGATAGCTTCCATCGTGACTGGAAGATTAAAGATAATGGTGTGGCCGTGATGCTAAGACTGGGTGAAGCAGCTTTGTCAATGGAGATTTCTTCTGGTCACTATTCGCCACTGCTGTCTTAAAGTCAGTTAAATCTTTGTGTGTTTTGTAGTCCAGGCAGGGTGACATTCTTGTCTTTGTAAGGAGCGAGATAAACTTCCAAATACTCCTGGTTCGTGCATTATCCACAGTAGTTGCTTAAATAATGAAAGCTTGCCTTTTTCTGAGGCTTGGATAGAGCTACATCTGTCTATGGGCTGCCTTAGTCAAATAGAAATTCCTGAGTTTGATACCGTGACAGTGCGTGGAAGAGAGGAAATGAGAAGAATCCAGCAGTTATGGTGTCAATTTAAGTGATGGGAGACCTGTGGTTTATTTGATTTCCTGGTGCTGGCTTCAAAGTACCGACTTCAAGCTTCCAGGTAGCTCATTTTAGGATGAATTAGGGAACTGGTGCTAGGCATCTGAGCTTCCCACACAATCAGGAAAGAGGAGTGCCTTCAAAGGCTGCTGAGTGCTCCTAGGCTCAGGGTTAGGGACTGCCTGAGGCTAGCTTGGGAGATCCTAAGCACGAGGATTTGTGAATGCTTCTTTCTTCTTAGAGCTGAGGTGTTGGATTTAAGTCTGTCCACTGGGACATCTCTGTCCACTCGGGATTTACCCTTCCTTAAAACTAAGCCCTCAGAAGAGGGGAGTGAGAAAAGATGAGCAAAAGCATCCTCCATCTTTTGTGCTGAAACAGGAACATTGGCGGCAGAGTGTGATTTGTAGCCAGGAAGAGTGCAGCCAAGGGGAAGCTTCATTTTTCTCTGGCAATTAGCACAGCCACTTGAAAAAAGAAAACCTGCCTTCCCATCCTGTGGGGTTTTTTTTAATCCAATTACTGCAGAATGTAAAATGGATGAACTTTCAAGGGAGGAGAGACCAGAATTGGGTCTTTCCTCTTTCAGCTGAAGAGTGTGGAAGTTGTGGATTTGCCTTCCCTCAGGATAAGAGTGGAGTTGAATTTGTGATCTCCCTTGTCTTGTGTGACTGCTTTACAGTGTGGGCTAGTTGCAAAAGGTGGGTGCTACTGCTGTTTCCACTTGTTCTTCCATGTTTTGTGATGATCCCAGTGCTGCCTTTAATGATGTGCTGAGGGCAGAGCTGCCTGCTCAGGGAAACCCTGAAGTCTGTGCTTGGGCTTGATTACAGCCCATTTGAGCTGGGAAGTGGTGGGACACATCTGTGCAGGCGTGAGTGTCTCAGCTTGGCCACCCGAGCACTTGGCAGGCGAGATGCGTGGTAAAAGGTGCCACAGTGTCATTTATCATAGTGTTCAAGGAGATAAATTTTGTATGAAGTCAAAGCTGGTGAGCTTAGGTTCTCTGAGAGTGGCTGGAGAGATGTCCTCTCACTTCATCTAGGGTGGGGGTGCCTGTCTGTCTTGGGTGACAGATGACTCTCACTGGTCACAGTTTTGACACAGTTGCATTAGACAGGATGAGCTGCTTATCACTGCCTGGAACAGGAGGTGAAGAGTGTGAATTCTTGGAGTCCACTGCATCTCGATAGAGCCTTCTGTGGATCTGTTAATGAGCATCTCCGAGCATTTCCTGGCAGTCATTCCTAGTACACACTGGTGGTTTTGGCTGTGGCGTCTGACCTCATTAACGTAAGGTTTTGCTCTGCTTTCATTCCAGGTTGTCAGAGCTGCTGAAGAAGCTGCTTCCACCCTGGCAAGTTCCATCTACCCGGAGCAATGCATCAAGGTGCTTTGCCCCATCATTCAGACTGCAGATTATCCAATTAATTTAGCTGCCATCAAAATGCAGACGAAAGTCATCGAGAGGATTTCCAAGGAATCGTTGCATCAGCTCCTTCCCGATATCATTCCTGGGTTGTTACAGGTACAGAATCCCATGTCACAAATTCACCTGAGTGCAAACCATCATTGACTAATTTGTGAGGTCTGTGACCTAAGAGAATGATCAATCCTCTAGGGCCAGATTTTGGTAAATTGAAGTTTTAATCCCTCTTTCTATAGTTGAGCTTTTCATGTTTCAGTGTGTTAAGGAAAAGAAAACTCGTATTCCTAGGTAT